CCCCCCCCCCCACCCCCCCCCCCCCCCCCCCCCCCCCCCCCCCACCCGTCTGCTCTCTCAACACTAGATTTTCATTCTCACTCACACACTGACTTCAATACTCTTTCCTCTCACAGCCTTCATCTTTCTCTACTGTCCTGCCTTTCTGGCTGATGTTATCCTCCCATTCTCCATCATTCTTTGCTTCATCTTATTTTACTTTTATTACCTTTTTCTATCGCTGAATAATACCTTCCTCGAGGAACATGTGGGCGATAGCTTTGTGAGGGGGAGGGGATGATAAAGGGAGGGAGGTGACTGGTCGGAACTCACCAACATAAATAGCAGTTTTCGAGGATTGTGCAGCTGAACCAGAAACTAAAAAAAGATGTAAAATGGAGAAGCGTCAGTTGTGGGAATAAAGTTACTTCCACTCATTCACATTTTTTTTATCTGGCTAATTAAATAAAACAGTTAGCAAAGTCAACTCTCTACCTCTTATCAAAATGTACATATTTCTATAAGCTGTCAGCATTACAAGCAAAGAGTGATTTTTACCTTCTCAAATAGTATAGAAAATATATTTTTGAGACCTGATGAGGTAAAACCAGTTATAAAAACAGAACATAATAAGGGAAACGTTATGTTTTATGCTGCTGAATTGTATGAACCCCATGTTGGGAATCACTGAAATAGGCGAAGGGCAACGTATGTGTAGTAACATTTCAACGTCTTAATATGATTGCGGACTTCATTTTCTTTCATGATTAATTGCACGTTAATTAGAGATACACCAATACCATTTCAATAATAAATCATTCAGTACATTTATATCTATGTATTTCTTAGGAAAGCAATGCTTAAGTCAAGCCTGATGCTGCCTTACACATAAAAGTATGATCCTGGTCTCTTCCACACAGTGAGGCACACAGCTTATTGATTAAACAGTATCGGCCGACACCTAAAGCCCGAGACCTGAATCCCCAACGTTAACCTTCATTTTGACCACAAGTCTTGGTCTTCCTTAACCACACACTGTCAGGTTGATGATAACGTGGCACCAGGCTTACAGGCGTTTCTCTTGTAATCCTCCACTTGCCCCCCCCCCCTCCCCCCCTTCCCCCCCCCCACCCTCCCTCCCTCCCTCCCTCCCTCGTCCTGACGCGATCTTGCTTGGCATTGTCACCTGGCAGTGGGCCTGGCTCTGTCGTCTGGAGCTGTCTGCCGACGGACACAAGGTCACCCGGACGTCCCCCCCGGTACTAGCAGGGGGTCCACCTTCTGTGTGTGTGTGTGACAGAGAGTGTATGGTGTGTAAGTGGAGCTGTCCGAGCTCATTTCTGTTCATATCGGTTTGTGTTTGTCACCTTGCATGTGCATAATTGGATAGTGTGTGCATGACATTACGCGCAAGCATGCATTTTCGTGTGTGCGTGTTCTCGTGTGTGTGTGTGTGTGTGTGTGTGTAGGAGAGAGGCGGAGAGACTCCCTGCTGGCCCCAGATGGCCGGCCTCTCCTTCCTCACCAGTCCAGACCAGTTCCTCTCTCCAAAGTCACTGCTGAGGACACAGGGCGAGCGATCGGCGCACAAAATGACCGCAGTCACAAAAAGGCATTGCTGTCAAACCAAAAGCGGCCGAGCAAGGGTGCCTCCAAATCAACCCGATAATAAAAAATGTCAAGCCTCCATTCCAGTCAGAAAACCATTTTAGCGGTTTTGACTTGTTCAGTACTTGTTATTCACCACTAGATGGCTCTCTAACTCCAGCAGATTGCTCCTGCATGTGCTGTGTGCGTTTGTGTGTTGGTGTGTGTGTGTGTGTGTGTCTAAAAGAGCTGGCTGCTGTGATCCTTCTAACCATGATTAATGGCCCCATTCAAAGGTAAGGAGCTCAGAGGATAACTTCTTTTACTGTAAGCCACAGTGCTGAGGCATAGGGAGTGCTCCCTGCACTCACTGTCCCAGGAAGATGAGGTAAATAGCGCTGGGAAGACAGGAGGGATGGTGGAGTGAGCTTAAACAAGCCTGTGGGAGGAGGAGAGCTGCTACACTCAGTCTGCATAATGCTTATTCACAATACATGTTCTATTACGAAGCATTCATCAGCGTTCACGACTACAAACGTGTCCCCTACACACATTCTGGCAATGTGTAAAATGATTGCAAGTGTGTGTCTTTGTGTATAGCAGTGTATGAAAACCCTGCTGGCCTCTGAGTTCTCTGCGGTCACACCTCTTCCAATTACTTTATCAAGTCTGACTGCCTGCGCGTATGTGTGTGTGTGTGTGTGTGTGTGTGTGTGTGTTTGTGTGTGTTCACACAGCCCCCGGGGTGCAATGATGGGAGCAGACGCCTGCTCTTTCACTCTCGGCAGGTGAGAACATATTCATCACAGAGTCCTGCCAAGCCTGGCGACACCCCGACTGTTATTGCCAGTCTGCATCACGGCTGCCCTTTGTCTCGCTCTTACGGTGGATGTTCTCTTCGAAATAAAATGAAAAAAAAAAATCAACTAAAAGCATCAATGTGTGAGGAATCACAACAGCTTTGATTTCACAAGATTTTCTCAGAAAAACGACAAAAAAAAATGACAGGATGCGGTCTCCGCCCAGTGCAGTCACACTTGAGTCACCTCCAAAAGCCGATATGTGTGCGCATGAATAATGAACGCTGCTCGTGGAACAAATGTCGACAAATGTGGCGGCTTCCGACGTCCTGCAGTGGTAACAATCATGCCGACCCCTCTGGGATTAAACAACTATGACGAGGTCTGTGCTCGACCCCGGAGAGCCTTGTGGGAGGAGCAGGGAGTTGTGGGTAACAGCTTTTATACTCACACTCCTTGGACATCCCGACTTCCAGGCACTTCTGCAGCCGACAGTACTGGCAGCGGTTGCGGGTGACTTTGTTGATGATGCAGTTCTTCTCTCGGTGACAAGTGTACACCATGTTCTTCTGGATGCTTCTCCGAAAGAAGCCCTGTGTGACAGAAAGACAGAGCGATAATGAAGAGAGAGCAGTGGGATGGCTGCCAAAAGGGTGAGGGATACAGGACTATCTTAGCAAATAGAGCAGCAAATGGCTAAATTACTTGGCAATTAAGAGTTGTGCTGCTGGCTGTTCCCCGCTTATTTATCCACATTACTGCTTTCATTGTGTTCTTTTGTTGCTTTGTGCAAACTCTCGCCTCATGTTCACCGTGTCCCTTTTCATCTGGTCCCAACAACAACAACAACAACAACAAAATAACTTAACTTACTTACAAGGTTAAAGAATGAAATTAAAAAGAGGCCGTGCAGAGTGGCCACATGCAGCTGCAGTTAAAAAGGCAATAAACTTCCAAACAGTTAAGTCCTTAAAAAGGCTTATTCCGTGACATAATCTGGACAGAGACGAACAATCAGTGAATTGTCACCATCTCATGGGGTCTCCCACCCGCTCAAACAGGGGGCCACCACAACACTGAAGTTCATATGAAGATGTTTCAGGACCAAAAGCTTTGGGGGGGGGGGCAAAAGGCACAGGGGTTACTAGGTGCCATATAACCGTGGCCTAGTTTACACAGCCAGAAATAAGCAATTCCAGATCCAGGCCAAGCGTGTATTATTAGAGAGAGAGAGAGAGAGGGAGAACATAGGCTGAACACAGTGTTGTGTAAGAACAAAGAAGGAATCCCTTCATTTGCCTTTTTAATCCAACTAGATCAAAGAAAATACATTTAAAAATCTAGTCCATGCGCTTCAGGTTGAGGATGAATTATAATGAGCTCATCTTTGGTCACTGAGCTGGAATGAGAGATCTTTGGGGAAGCTAACTATGTTTTGATTGCATAAAAGCAAGACATAGAAACGGAGCAAAGTATCTCTCCCGGATAGATAAGACGATTAGCATCACCACTTATATTCTTCTTAATACCACGCAACTCCGATGAAATCCTTGTTGACCTCTGACCTTAAACATCCCTTGTGTGTCAAAGAGATTAAAAAAAAAGGGTCAATGCAAATCAGCGCTCGGCAAGCGAGGCTCGGGATGAACGTAATAAAGGTCACCGTCAGTGTTGAAGTGACGTAGTGGGACATGGTTTATGTTGTGGTGGGGGGGAGGGGGCTAGCTAGGGAGAGAGGGAGGCGGGGCGGAGTGCGGTGCGGAGGGGGAACCTTCCAGGGAGCCCCATCCCATGTCGAGGGATTAGCTCCGCTAGCCGACAGATGGCCGGTGGACATAAGCCCACAATTCGTCCCTCCCGGATCACCAGCCTCTTCTCACATCTCCAGTCCACCACCACCACCACAGAGTGGAAGTGGATCAGGCTTCTAATGAACTAGTGACCGTTTCCATTACACACATGATAGACTTCGCTTCCAGGGTGGTAGAGCAAGCGTTTCAATCCTCAGCGGGGTCACATCGTCAACCCTCTGTCTGGATTTCAAACAAGGCCTCACATCTGCTTTTCAAGCAGCTGTCGCATAAAAACGCGTTTTTAATGATAACAGAAAACCTTATCAAAGTCCTGCTTTTCATGCACCATGGTACACCAGGTTTGTACCTCCAACAGACACCCACAGACTCATCTGTGTCTCCCTACAGAGCGGTGAGGCCTGAACAAACAACAAAGTGGAGAGAACAACAAGGCTTGTAGTTGGACGTTAATTCCCGCTGCTGATGCTGGGGGATAAGTCCGTGGTCTTTGTGTGTGTTTCTATGTGTGCATGTATCACGTGCCCTTTGATCTGACGGTGCCCTGACCCTGACCCCAGTGTCACAGGGGGATTGACCTACTCCCTCCTCTCACCACGAGGCCCAGGTGCCCCCTGGCAGCGCCTCCCGATTGGCTGTTGCTGTTCCTGCCCCCCCTCCTTTTCGGAGTCATTGCTTCCTGCGGCCCTTAAGCCTCTTTTTGTATCACCGCTTAATCCACCCGGCGACAAGAGCCCTCAGCGGGCCTGTCAGCCACCCTGCAGCGTTTAGAGGAGATGAGAGCCGCAAGAAGAGCGAGAGGGGTGAGAGGGATGAGAAAGAGGAGTGAATGGCCACGGCACACACTGGATCGCATCCGTCATGTGCTCTTGAATTCGCGGCTGTCCGCCGAGTGTGCGTTATGAGCCTCATGCACTCATGAGTGTGTCAGTGCTTTCTACTTTGCATGTGTGTGAGGAAATGCTTTATTAAGAGGGAAGCAGGGGGTGGGGGAGTTCACAGGGAAGCACAGGAATCCTCTCTTACGTGACTTTCACACTGTGCCCAGATTAAGAGTGCGTTCCCAGCCTCCCACTGCGTCCGTGCATGTGTGTATATGTGTGTGTGTGTGTGCCCGCGCCTCTATTACGCAGCTCTACTGCTACAGCCTACACATTAGGAGAGACGGATGCTTGGTGGAGAGGGCTGAAAAACAGCAAATAGGGGACATTCTTGCTAGAAGCGGCGGTTGGGGACTTTGGAAAAAGCAGCAGATACCAAGAGGAGAGATTCGCCTGCCGCGCACTGCCGTACCTCCAAGACAAAAACATAAACATGAGGGGGTGTGCATGCATATTTAATGTTAAAGTGTTAATATCTGGAGGGGGGAAAAGAAGTGGAATGGCGGTGAGCGTGTGCGGGCGGTAGAACGTCAACAACAAACGAATGAGCCGACTCCAAGAAGCCAAGCTCGACATCTCCCTCCTGCTTCCTCTGTTCGCCACAACCCCCAGGAAATGCCTTTGTAGTTTGGCATGCTGCAGCAAAGCCGAACGCTGCTACCCCTCAACTTACCCCAGTCTCAGATGAGACAACCATATACATTCACATGCCTGTAGTGTTGAATTATTGAGTGTGCTATGCCAAGTCATCTCCTCTGAAGTCAGAGATATGGAGAAGGCCTCCTGAATGTTGCAAATTAGCACTGCGGGTGTGTCGAGTGGGCAGACAGCCGGCTCACGGACAGGTGGACCGGCGGCTTACGTTAGTTAGCACTGGGGATGTTTCCCCAGTTTTAGCCAACACAACGCCATATTGCTGAACAGCTGAATTGTTGTGTTCTTTGGTGGCGGTGACGCGGTGAAGTGAGACCTAGATTACAGCTTTCATATTTTAGTTGCGGTGCTTTTAACGTATCATTATTTGTCATCTAGTGTACAACTGTTAACGGAGATTTGACCTCCGTTTAAGTGTCAGACTGTTGTGTATTTTACATTTTAAATGCCTCCTACGTCTACGTTAGACCTTCCTGACGAACGGAAACCTCATATCAAGATGTGGAGACGCCAGTTTGCAATAACGCTGGCGACCACTTACACCTCCACAACCATTGGCTCCGCTTGAGGCGACATGAGCTGCGTTTACCACAGAGCAGATTTCATACTTCTATATTGGTCGAACACAACCCCACACACACACACACACACACACACACACACACACACACCGCGGGCTGTGATTTAGTGTTATAATCTCACGTATTACCCCATTTAATCAGTTGCTATTAGACAATGGGGAGCACCGATAAGGGGAAACGATAAAAGCACTTTGGGGCTTGAAATGGCCGCAGAGTTGCTGCACACCTTATGAGACCAATGCGTTTTAATACATGCTAACAACCGCAAAACTAAATGCAAGCTTGCAAGGTTACCCACTGCCACATCTCCTGCCTGTGCTAAACTGTTTCGAAACACAAAATGGGGCAGCAGCACAGTGAGCAGCAGTTTAGCCGCCCCTATAAAACAGCCTTCACTTAGTTTGGTCCCTTTTTATTTGGTCTTTGGGGACCAGGTTGTGTTTCACGGAGCCCTCGGAGGGTTTGTGTTAAAGGGTTTACGTGTTTGTATGCATGAATCCTTGCGTTCCTGTATCCTTGTCTCTTTGTGCATTATTTACTCATTATCCCCTCCCCCTCCCCCCCGCGCTCTGTTGCGCTGACCCGTCTTTCTTTCGATGTCAATGAGTTCAGCCTCGGCCCCTGTACTTCGTCAGCCTAATCTGCTGCCCCTTCAACCATCCCCACTTCTCTCTTTTTAGCTATTCATGCCTCTCAGACCACAGTCTGCTCTCTCACCCCCACTATCTCACTCCCTGTAGTTTCTCCCATCTTTGTATCATTTTGTCTGCACTTTTACATTCCCCCTGAGTTCCTGACCTTCCTTACTGTTTCTTTCTTTTCTTCTTTTTTACTGCTGCTGCTGCATGGCTTTTTCTCGAAGCTCCACCCCTGTCCTTCCGCAGCACTCCTATCCCTGCACATATGGCAACACATACAGACCACAGTATTGGCTGCACAGTCGATAAGCCAAAGGGCCTAGCGGGCACCTGTCACCGACAGCACCACGCTGCCTCCCTTCATCAAACCACTCCCTGCCTCCTCTTGCTATACACAGGGCTGTTGCTACCAGAAAAAAGGGAATTTACACACTCTTGTTTAGGGTCAAGACTCCACAACTTTGGAAATCCTATTTGGTAAATTCAAGAAAGCGTGATCACCAAGCAAAAGAAACCAAGGTGGTTTGCGAAATGTTGACATTGTGGATTTATAAAGTTTGCACCTGGCAGTAAGATTACATTAGATTCCACAGATCCCTCCGTCTCATCTCTATCCACCTCTGAGCTTACACAACTCTGGCTCTGTGCCTTGGGAGAAGCGAGATAAAGCGGCCTGTGTGCTGCTCACACTAGCAGGAGAACATGTCTGCAATGCACACAGCAACTACCAACTGATAACAGAGTATATGGGGGTTATAATGCCTCTTCAGACCTTGTGTAACATGACTGTATCGATAGCAGGCGGCCGATGTGGACACGTCAGCAAAGCTGATACGAGCCAACCCACATGGCTGAGAAAGTTTCACATACTGCACACGATTAGACGCAGGTCCGTCATATACGTTATCTTGTTTTACAATGTGTGCAGATATAGGTTGATGTTCTTTAAGTGATGAAAGAGCCGATTGCACATCGTCCAGGTCATGTCGAGGATTAGGCAATTCAATATAGCAGCCGATGTCAGTCAATGATTCCCCGTGAAAAGGTAGTCAATTCTGACTCATTCCCCACATTAAAAGGGGGCAATCAGAGCTTCTCCGAGCTGCGAGCCGCCGGCTCAGCCGTTTCCATGTTGAGAGGCAATCAAAAATGCTCCCAATCTCGTATTTAGCATCTTCAAATTCCAGCATTATACACTGGAAAAACCCAAAAGGATGCGAAATACTCAAAATGACACGCCTTATCACTTTCATCACGTGAAGACCCGAGTGTATATTCTCCCCTACAAATCACATGAAGGTTACAAGATTGACGAAACATCTTGCTCGGCAGATTCAGAGCGAAGGCCGGAAGTCTCACCTTGCAGCCCTCGCAGGCGCTGACACCATAGTGGTACCCTGAGGACTTGTCCTGGCACACGAAGCAGGGCTTGTAGACGCGGGGCGGCGGGGGAGGTGATGGCGGGCTTGGCACTATCTCCTCCGAGCTGGTACTCTGGGTCTCTATCGCTGTGGAGAGGAAAGAGCAACAAGAGGGTGGTTAGTGAACGCTATCAGATGGAGCGCCGGCAGACGGGCAACATCAATCGATATCAGTGGGACAAACACAAATTGTCATGTGTACACTCCAAAAGATCTGACACAAGCCCGGTGCTGACTGCTGCTGACAACATCCAATACAAAATCACCACAAGGGGAACATACTCACTTTATTACTATGTGTTTTAGAAAAGAAAAATACAAGTGCAAGGACAACTTCTTGATCAGTCATTTTCAGATTCGACAGTGGAAAGACTGCAAAATATCTTCAAAGAGGAAGCACTTTCTAACACACACACACACACACACACACACACACACACACACACACACACACACACACACACACACACACACACACACACAAATCATCAATGCACCAATGAAAGCAGCCTCTGTGGAGAGTTCTTATTTACTGCTGGAATTATAACGTGTGCGTTACAGCAATAGGCTGCTTTGCCAGCAGGGTTCAAAGACAGATGTTCTCCTTTGATGCACAGCATTGAGCTTTTTATTTTATATTTTTTAAATGGTGCCGTCTTTTCAAGCACGAATGCATGAAAATATTGAAGGATAAAAAAACAAACGCGGTACCAATCAAGAGCAACAAGTACTGCGGACAAGGCTAAGCATACTTCTCAATAACCTTTGTAACTTACCCCCACAACCAAACACATAACTAATTCTCTTTTTCAATATCAGACCGGTAAACAGGAGGAGGCTGAGTGTGCTCCGTCTTCACCCAATGAGCACTAACATGACAAACCAAACAACAGGCCAGGCTCCCATATTTTGTGTGCTAGTACATAATAAACAGAGGCGGTACAGGATTGTGGGGAAGTAACCTGCTGTTGCCTTCATGTAATATGTATTGGACTTTGACCTTAATATCCTGTGTGTTACAAAACACACAGCTCTTTAATCAAATATGAAAACACACATTCACAGCGGAGCCCTGCACCCTGTGGCCTCCGGCTAAATAAATAAGTGTGTAATCCAATAGGAGTGGCTTTGAGCTGGTGTTCTACTTGTGACTACCTTTTAATACCAAAACCATTATGATGCCTGAGTTATGACACACAAACTCACTTAGACTGGCTTTTTCCCCCCATTTAAGAAAATAAGATACACTCCAGTGACATCAGTGATGGTGACTTACACACGACGACATTCAAGGACTTTGACTAAAGTTTAACTCCCCCTCCCCCAAAATTAGAAACTAAATCCTTGTGGCTCCATCCTTATCAATGCAGGTATGCTGTACGCATGTGTGCGTCTTCACAGCCCCGTTCCTCCACGCAGCATCATCGGCTCAACAGAGGAGGGATTGGAGAGGTTGACAAGCGGCTAAGGAGCCGCTCGCAGCTCGGTGTGTAAATAAGCCATCTATATTTAACGGATTGGGCTGGTTCAGCAGGCCCGTAGTACAGCTGGGAACACACTCCACGTCCTGACACAACACACACCAAACCACTCTAATCGCACTGCACGCCGGGCAATACAAAACAAGGATAAAGTTTTGCTACATCTCTTTCTCTCTCACGCACACACACACACACACCCTTTCCAATCCTTTTATAGTATCTGTGTGCTGGTCTCAGCCTGCCAATCTCCATGCGGATGCAGCAGATGGCACAGGGGGAAGATTAGATCCAGAACAACCAAAATAAACCAACCTGATGCCCAGATATGTTCAAGGCTCCTGGGAGGGAAAAAAGAAAACAGACGAAGCACGGTACACCAAAATCCAGCCCATGCCAAAAAAGCCTGCACGTTATCTCTGCCGTCAGGAAAACACACAGCACATCCAAGTGGGTTTCAAGTGACTGGTGACAGTCAAGCTAAAAGCAATACAACTCAAGCTGCAACACCCATCGTTGACACCCGATCAGGCCCGGGGTTATTAGGACATTTCATTTATGAGGCCCAGATGTCAGATGCCACTTTGACACCAGCAATAACCTTATTAAGCTCTTGGTGTGAATGGGTCAATATGGGGAACTTTCGACCTCAGCCTGGAGGGAGACACTTTTTTTTTTAGCTTATTGAGCAGAGATTCTGTTAAGATTGTTAAGATTTAGAAAATATATATGCAGTTTTAATGAAAATGGGAAGAAGAAAAAGAAGAAGAGAGTTTTCCGATGATGAAGGGTGGAGTTAAAAGAATGAAAGCATGAGAAGTCAAAGATGTGGAAGAGACAGAGAACTATGATGTGTTTGAGCGAACAGACAAAAACACAAAACAGACGAAGAGATAAAGAAATGGTACACACACAAGGAGGGAAAGCTTATGCTGTATGTATTACTTCACTCATGTTCCCCCCTTGTGTTTTTTAGATTAATCTACATTACGCCCACAAACAAACACAGCTGTCAGGTTTCAACTGAAAGCCTTGAAAAACTACAAAATCTGAGCAAATTGAACAAACTTGTGTGAAGCAAAAGCGGGACTTATAAATCTCAAAGGAAAGGAGCGACGCATTTGAGGGAATGTGCGGACAAACGCTCATAAAAAGGAATTTTACTGTTTTCCAGCAAGTAGAGTAATGCATATAGCAGTAAGGAGACGCACCTTTTTAAAGTGCTGTTGAGGAGGAAAAATGGGAGGCGATTTTTGTGCAAAGGATTCAGTCGCAAAGCGAGCAGGGAGGATAAACAGCGAGAGGCCCTTTGCTTGGCATTGCCCTTTTACTGGTGTCATTACGGGGCCGTCTTTGCCCTACGCCACTGGGCCACGCTCATCATGTCAAACAAATTAACGTTAGACAGAGCAGCCCTTACATAACATGGCATATTTTCTCATTAGCAAAAACAAAACAAAAACAACAACACAGTTCACAGTTTACTGCGCTCTTCTTCTGCCTCGCTTGATGTGGACTGATTACAGCCCTGTGTTATTAGTGGGACCAGAGAGCTATTCATCCACGTTAAAGCTGCCTTCTGTAGGAGCGCCAGGACACACAGATGTGCCAACCACCCACACGCCAACACATAAACATGAAAATTGCACCCATGCCTACATTTACACAGGCTAAAGGCTTTCCAAGAGTCGGTCGGACACACACACACATATATATATATATAAACACACACACAGAATGCACAGTCTTAATGAGAGCACCCATGGAAATCTGGGACACAAGGACAAGAGTCCGTCGGGGGGCTGGCGACTGTAATTAAATACAATGGCTGGCTTCTGGAGCCCTGTCAAGCTGAGGCATGGAGCGAAACAATGGCGGGCCTGTGGACGGAGAGGCAGGGAGGCTCGGCGGGGAGGACCGAGCTACTTAGCCCTTCAGCAGCCCTCACCCAGGCATTATTCAACACCAGCCGGCTTTCAATGCTCTTGATCAACACCAACTATCACACAGGCCCGACTATTGTGTGATCCACCAAATCATACGCACGAAACACTGGGAGGAGTGACTCACACTCGCCTGGAGAGCTTTCTTCAGTATCCTTGCAACATGTTAACACTGGAAATGTGTGCGTCTGGCAAGGTTTCCAGGCCGGAGCCTGCAAAAGTCACCACGGTAACTAATACTCGCACTACGGCTAGAATATCAGTGCTTTAGCCAAGAGAAGGAAACACGAAGAGACAATAACTTAAGCTTTGCTTAAGGATAGAGGAACAGGATCCCACAGCTCAGGAAATAATGTTGAAATGAAAAAGAGTAAGGAGTTACTGATAAGGACTCTATTGCACTCTGGTGACGAGGTGAAACACACACACACACCACAACGAGCATATAGTCACGGCAATTGTTGTTAACCAGACCACAAGGCTACAGCCTGGCACGTTGTCAGACCAGTCAATAGGAGCGGGAAGAATCAGCACAGGCCGTCAGGCGTAACCAGCGGAAACAAAGTAGTCCCTACGCTGCGTTCAGACGGCACAAGTCCTTTTAGAAAGGAGGGTGTGTCTGTCCCACAGCCAATCACTGGCTCTGACTGAAACTACAGTCTTTCTGCTAACTCTGGCACATTGAAAGTAACGGATGTATTAAATATAATATCGAATTCTGAATTTTACTGTTATTAATCGGTCCAAACAATGTGTGAGTTGGCCAAGAATTCACAACATACTTCTCTAATAAAACCAATTCTATATGACAAATTGTGACCAATTACTTAGATCTCTCCTTTTATATTCACAATCACTGACAAGTATTATAAACACACAGAGTTGACGTGCAAGTGCGTGCGTGTGCAGCCCCCCCCACCCCGATATTTAAATAGCTTAATGTGGCGCGGCATTCTTGAACTCAGAGCCAAAGCACCGGTGATTTAATTAAGTTCAAGTGTGAGTGGTCTGTAATGTCGCTCTTCAGATTCACTTTGCATACATCACGAGTCACAAGTGCACTTAGAAAGAAGCCGCGCCCCTCGCAGCCACATCCTCCATTAGCAATTACAGCATGCCTGGACTTAAATGGACAAATATGCACAAGACTGAAATGAAATCTATTCGGATGATGAACTAGCCTGAGCTGTAATAGTGACATGAGATAGCCTGGCTAACATCAGCACTTCAAAGGCCTTTAGACCACAGACCAAGAGACAGACACACACACACACACACACACACACACACACACACACACACACACAAGCCCACCGGCTATTATCCAGCCTCCAGACTCTGCTGTCTCGGCCCAGTGCTGCTGAGCAGTTCTTGAGGTTCAGCTCTAGGTTAGTCCTCTGAGATTTGATTACCTTCATCCCGAACTGGTTACTGGGCCCAGCTGTGAAGCATATTAATGAGATTTCACCATCATTAGGGGGGAAGCTAACTACATTAGCAGGCTGGCTGCTTGGCCGGCTGGACTGTGGTGGAGAGAAGAGGAGAAAATGAAGGGCAGAGGGGACGGAGGGCTTTGACAGGGTCTTCCACTTTGTTGAATCCTACTCTATCACGGCCCTTTGTGTCCCCCGGCCTCTATTAGGTTATTTGGACATGCACATGCACA